ATTAATGTAATTATCAAAATTTTATAAGATTTAATTGATGAAAATGTGTAAACTTTTTCCTTCGTCTATCAGGTAGATCATCAAAAGCTATTGGACACGTGTTTTTCCTTTATTCGAGTAATCTAAATATAACAGAGATAAATATTAATTTCAAATATCGTATAACGTTACGCCTTAAAACAAGTTTTACTCTCAAGTGACGTCACGAGCCAACCCCAAACTTTGAAGCACTTCATCTTTGCATTTTTTTGGTTGTTTGACAAAAGATAAAATTAAATTCTATTATTGTTGTAATTTTCATTTGATATTGTGGGTAACCTACAATGCGAAGAGATGGCGCTGCCTTGCAGCTTAAGAAAGGCTAGAAAGAATTCGACACGGCCATCAGGGCCGCGGTAGCATAATTGGTTAGTGCATTCGCCCGGATAGCGAAGGGTTCGAGTCCCGTCTGCTGCCTGGTCTGCGAGGATTTTTTCTAGTAACGTTTTCTTCAAATTCTATTGTGTCTTTAATCTAAATGACTGAATAAATAGAATTTTGTTTAGTTTACCGTGTCGTTATCCCTATTGTATGAAGCTTTATCTCATCATAATCAACAGCCTATTAATATCCCCACTGCTGGGGCACAGGCCTTCCCTATAAATGAAATAGGGAGATTGGGCCATAACCCACCACACGGGCTCAGTGCGGATTGGCGGGTGCTAACTATTGCAGATGCAGCAGGTCCCTACGGCTTAAAGTGCCTTCCGAAGCGCGAAAGGAACTCTAGATAGAAGATTTGTGGTCACCCATCCTATGACCGACTATTGCGAAAGTTGCTTAACTTCAACGATCGCAGCCGAACGCGCTAACCACCCGCGCCATCGAGCTTTATCTCTGTACTTTCTTTACTCATGTTGCCACCACCACCACCACCAGCATAATGTGCATGTTCTTGTACCGTTATCTTTGCAATGTCGAATCCAGTCAGTGTTGCTAGGTCCGATTTCAAAAAATCGGGAGGCGTTATAGAAAAAAACAGTAGATGTATGGAAAGAGCTACAAGAAAAACAGTAGATCCAAAGGCGTACTTTTTCTGATTTGCAAAAGAATTGGTAAATCAAATCAAGATAAAGACCTGTAACGAATATGTTTCTGTGGCTTGTACTGCCCCGCTGTTTTTTTATACAATAACATTTATTTTAAAATTAATAAGGTTACCTACAGAGTTAATGGCCGAAAATGCAACTCAACAGGCAATTTAAAAAAAAAATTGTATTCTAAGAAAAACAGGAGATTCATGTAGAAAAACAGTAGAACAGGGGAAATTTCAGAAAAACAGGAGATCTCCTGTAAAATCTGGAGACCTGGCAACACTGAATCCAGTCGCGTAGTGTATATATTCTGTGATCCAGTGGTCATGCCAACTTAACCGGTGTCTCGTCGTGTCGTGCGCAGCTGGTTTTGAACTACTGACATAACGCACATTGTTTTATGTACGAGCATGTTGTACGCTTATAAAATGTTACAATTTTAAGTGGTCTAACACGTTTTGTGTTATATCATAGTCAACAAGTGGATTGTCCACGTTTTTCGTTGTAATAGTTGTTATATGTTTATTTAAGAAACGTGCTTAATTATTGATGTGTAACACAACCTCTAGCTTTCCTGCTATTTGTGGGAGTGATTTCGTGAAATGGGAGGGAAGTGTGTAACAGGAAATCGCGAAAGCGCGCGCTATTTGATTTGATTTTAGAACATAATGTTCAAATGGCAACCTTTTGTAGTAGGTTTTATTTCTTTTTTTAATAATATAAGGTGAGGTTACAAATGTTACACATCATACGCGACTACTGTAAGGCTCGCTCGTTTTTTATATCTATTTCTGGGTACTTTATCTGGTACCTAATAATAGAAAGGAGCCCACCTACTCTAGTTTTACTATAACTTCTAATAACAATAATTAGATATTCACAGCTGCAGATTTTCTTTCATTATATTTTTCTTATCTTGCATACAGACGCAAATTATAAGGATATTTTTTTATTTAAAAAAAAGCTCGAGAGTCTAGAAGTGAATAATATTTAATTGACGTCGTTAATAGTTTTGTAATATAAGGTGGAGTGGAGTCATTTGTTGGACCTATTCATAAAGAGACTATTACATAAATCATTTACTTACTAAACGAAATTCGGCTCATTACATTAGATGTTAAATCACATATTTGCATGGATATCTGCAATATCATTGTGTAAAAGAGAACTATAAGTATTACAGTTTTTTCGTACTAAAATTTTAATTTGAATAAATCCCAATTAACGCACCAAACTGTTTTTACCGTCGTGCTTTGCTTCATTAAGTCATAAGTTTTTTCTCTGTTCTTATCGCAGGAAGAAACAACTGACGAGCTGGCGAATAAAACGGTATAATTACCTACATAAAATTAAATTTTACAGGAGCTGTATAAAACTGAATGACATACCTCCAGTGAGCTTTTGGCATGGCTATGCAATAGCTTTACCGCGGCAGTCCCCGAGTGCCACACGTATTTTTCAATTTATAAATTCAGTAATTTTAACACTGTTTTAGGCAGTTTTGATTGAAAATTATTTGAGATTCAAATTCAACGAGCCTGAAACCTCCGGACTGTAAAAAAAAAAGAAATTTGGCCTGATGCGTAATTAAACCGTTTTGTTCGCTAGCTCCTCAACTATAATTTTTAATTGTTATTAAATTTTTAATTGTTATTAAATTTTTAATTGTTGTTAATCCATTAAAACTAGTTTTATTTAATGAGTGATGTGCGTGAAAACCTATGAAAACAAATATTTATTTATATTGTTTTTGCTGAAGTAATACCAAAAAAAAATGTCTACTTTGTAATTTATAGTTATTATATAATATACCCACTGATAAACGGATTATCTTTTGTACGGAACCCTTAAGACTAGTAGCGATAGGAACTTACAGACATATATTATTAGAAGCTCAAAAAACTGGATTCAAATAATCATTATCAGGTTATTAATGTCCCCACTGATAGGGCAGTCATTCCTTATGAATGGAATGGGGAGTCCAATCTCCCCACGTCATGACCCACCACGCGGGTCTAGTGCGGATTGGTTGGTGCTACGCGATCAACGGCATAACGTGCCTTCCGAAACCCGGAAGAGCTCGAGACAGAAAATTTTGGTCACCCATCTAAAGACCGACCACTGCGAAAGTAGTTTAAGTTCAACGATTGCAGCCGAACGTGCTAACCAGCCGAACTTGCGCCATCGACCTCCTCATCAGATAATGATTACCTACTATCTACACACCTGCTGCGGATTTACTTTCAAAGAGAAAGCGCCTCTATGTTATTAAGTGCTAATGCATACCTACAAATTATTCAATGATTCTTTATTAATAACATCAATAAACTAATCATTTAGGTGTTAACCATTAAAACATGATTACGCTGTTTTTTAAATCAAGAATGCTCTAATGTAATCTAGAAACAGGGCTTTCTCTGTTATATTTTATTTATTATTTAAGTTTATAACTAATATTTTTTCTAATTTATCTAGGTTTATTTAATTTGGATACTAAGTACTTTTCAAGTTTGTTTTATTTAAAGTTTCAAAAAAAATTAATTAAATACACATTTAATTTTACATTATATATTTTTGATACGAAGATTCTTCTTGGGAATCAAACATTTGTCCTATAGGTAATAGTGAAATTTGTTGCTTTTTTTAAACGCACCAGGGATAGAAAAATATTGTTTTTACTCGAATCCATTAGTATTTTTATCATCTTCAAGATAAATATTCATTTCTATATGCCAGATTAGCCAGAGTCGTATTTAAAATAGGCAACGGTAATTACAATAAGCAGGGGCGTACCACCCTTAGCACCCGGCTTCCCCGGTTTAAGGTAGAGCAAAGGTATTTTAAGGCCTACCTTAAAAATACCTTTGCTCTGCTTTGCCCTAGCATTGCATGCCCACCCTTAGCTACGACCCTGCATACCTGCATGTATCAGTCAAATGCTTTGTAAATTTTAGCAAAATTAGTTTCGAATATCGCAATCGATTATCGGATTTAACAAAATGTTGATTGACTTTAATTTCTAGTCGCAACTAACACCGTACCAGGATGTTACTAGGTATTCGGACTAGTTACGATATGGGTACTTAACGCCTACTTTAACTTTCGGACCGCACCTCAACCGTGACATTGTCACTAACGCCAAAATGACACTAATTGCAAGGCAATAAGGTCGATGTTTGATTCGAATCGATATCACTCTGTGGACTATTACGAATCGCCTTTTGAATGAAATGCAAATACTATAATTGTATTGTAAGCTTTTGTAATAGGTGAAAATCACCTTGTGAATATAGAGTTGACAATTTTGATGTAATCATAATATTAAGGATTTTTTTTAATTTTTTTTACATGAAATCAAGAAAATAATTCTTTTATGTCTTTATCAATGGGAAGTTTTTTCTATGGAAATTATAACAGTAAAATACCTCAAGATGCTATAAGGTACAATTGAAGATAAATAACTTTATGTACCTACTTTTATTATGATTTTAAATAAAACAAATGGGCAAATTATTCCGAAAGTCCGAATATATATTTTTTACTTTGGCTATTTTACTAAAACTTAGTTGTTCTTTATCAGAAGTTTGTATCCAATATTACTTCAGCCACATAAGTGTAGTTTTTTTATATTTATTCGAAGTTTTTATTCAATAACATCATAATAGAGCAAATAAATTAATATCACTTTGATTATACAGGATATAACATGATCTTTTTTTAGGAGATCAAATTTCTAGATATATAGTAATTCAAAATAATATAAATAATAAGTATAAAAGTATTTGTCTGAAGGCTGACTAGTTCTGCAAAGTCGGCTACGGCAGGGAGTTTAATAAAAATATGTAATTCAAACATAATTTGCATAATTGGAACACTTGAACATTGAGAAACTTTTGTGTCGCTCATGAAAACATTACAACAACTCACCTATTATAACGGCTAATGACACAAACAGTCCCCAGCAAAATAACTTCATTTTGTCAAAATTGTATATCCTTCACCACTTTCACCGAAAATAATCACTCTCACTGCATTACGATTCTGAGCAGAATTCAATGTTAATTTCTCCTCAATAAAAAGATTGCAAAGAAAATATTATCATTTTAAAATTGATACACACGCAAGAATCACATAAATTCAAAGCAGAGAATGTTTTTTCTCAGCTTGCAAGACTTCGCGTTGTTTTGTTTTTGCCGCCAAATGTTCGTTTTTTTTTTATTTTTAGCGCGCGTCGGGCAATCACGTTCGAAAGTCAAACGCGAACTGGCCAGCCAGTCGAGTGTGCAAGCAGGCCCGATGTAAGACGGTCCCGGCATAACCCAGCCAGTTTAAACGTTAATTAATTGTTACTACTTTCTTAGGACTGTGCAACGGGCTCAAGCTAATCGCATTGTAATTGAATTTCGAACTTAGCATGCATTGAAGCCTTGATTTTTATTGTTTTTGCCCAATCATTAGGCATTTAAAGTGCTATTAAGTTCAAATACATAATTATGAAACAAACAGTCACTGGTATTTCCAATTTTTATTGGGAAATTATTTTTTATTGGGAAAAGAATAGTGAAAATCTGTGCCAATAATAGAACAGGTTATTAATATACTTATTAACAAAAATAGGCTATTTAATTAGACTTTGAAAATGCTGTGCATGTATTTATATAATTGCAGTAGGTTATTTAAAAATATTTATATTTATGTTTTTGAAGTTATACTTCTTTAGGCGCGTTATGAAAAATGATGAGAGTGAAATTTTAAGATGCGCGCGCATCACTGTAACACAAAATTTTAACAGCATGAAGTTGGTTGCGACCAACTTCATGCGTTACTTTTGTGTTTACCGCACATTAAGAAAATCTACCAACAAAATAGAAATAGAATCTCTAATTAGTGGGTGCTAACGACTGCATTGTGAAGGCCTATCAAAAGTATTTATTAATCTGGAACAACGGAACCAAAGCGCGATTCAGGAGGCCACAGCACCATCTCTTGACCATTGGTGTAGTAGAACCAAAAACCACATCTTTATTTTTTGTAATAAAGTAACAGTTATAGGTATTCATATTTATAATATCAAAAGTATTTATTAATCTGGAACAACGGAACCAAAGCGCGATTCAGGAGACTACAACGCCATCTCTTGACCATTGGTGTAGTAGAACCAAAAACCACATCTTTATTTTTTGTAATAAAGTAACAGTTATAGGTATTCATATTTATAATATTTATCCACATGTTTCTAGTTTGTATATTCGGAATACGTGTTTGAGTTTCATACAAGTGCAAATCACATATGTTCTAATAAATTATATTCAGTAGCGATTTTAATTGAATATTTTGATTATTTATTTATTTTTTCAAATTAAAACTGAACTTTATTGACTGTGCCCTTTTCCAGACTTTTTATTAATTTATTGCAAATTAATTATTTGCATGCAATTAAAAACTAATTTTAAACGATGCCAAAGAAGGATAACTTCTCACGCGCCTACATAAGTACACGCACCCATTTTTTTTTAAGCTTTATATCTATATTGTTTTCGCCATTAAAATAGAAACAGTTAAACAAGCAATGGTGTAGTAACCTTTGATTATTTACTCCTAGATAGAGCGTGGTAGCGCAGGTGACGTTGAAAAAAATATGAACCCAATGCTGGACTCCGTCACTTGGTGTTCAATGAAACGCTGAGCGATACGCACGTCAGTTACAGAATTTCGTGTCAAAATTATTTCTTGGAAATGCCGAGATGCGCAATAAAAGTTTACCGAAATTATAAAGGCCGCATAAAAACAATCAACAAAGTCACTTCATCTTAAAAAATATAACTATAACATCGTACCTATGCGTTAAAAAATACGACTCTATCTTGACATTTTCATAGTGATGTTACAAATTTCCCCAAAAATTAAGAATGGCGTAATCAAAATATTTACCGGTTGCAGCTGTGTGATGGAGAAAAGTTTTTTTTTATGTCAATATAAATTTATTGTCTCGAAAACTTGACGGAATAACAATAAATTGAATCAATTTTTGAAAAACTTAAAAGTTGTTATAGAGTGTCGTACCCATGGACATCTGCGAGTATATAACTAAGACTGAGTACTTTTACCGATGTAAAGGGATGAGTGAGAGATATAGAACAGACCTTTAATTCTTTACTAATAGGAAGGCCATCACTTTTTTACCTAAAATTAAAAGTATTCAACCTATATGGAGTTCAAAAACTCGCCTATATCACAGGCGCGGTCGCAGCCTGAAGTTTTGGAGGGGGTCACTCATTACACTAATAAAAAAACCGGCCAAGAGCGAGTCGAACTCGCGCACCGAGAGTTCCGTACACACCTGAATTTTCAAAAATATTTTTTATTATATTATGAAGTAACTAAAAAACTAAAATTCACGGTTTTCGCATTTTTTTCTTTATCTGTACTATAAGACGTTACTTTGTACCAAATGTCAAGAGTGACCTTAGATTTTAGGGGGGGGGTCATGTCCCCTGTGACCCCCCCCTTCGGACCGCGCCTGCTATATCATCTATCCATATCAATTTCTTACATAGTAAGATGTCAAAAACACGGTCAAAAATGAATTTTTTTCACCAATCTATCAATTCATTATTTTAAAGGACTATTGCAAGAAGTTCATAATTCACAATAGAAAAAAATCCCATCTACATCCCTGAAATTGGAAATTATAACTTCAAGGCAACCTAACCGATTTCGTAGCCGTTTTCCACTGCTACATAATTTCAAAATACATATGAATTTATTTTTGTTTAACTGTCGAGGTATGGGAGGTTTAAACCGTAAAAGGTTCGTATTTTTTTTTATTTTTTTTTTTCGATGACGGGGGAAAATGTATTATATCCACGACAATGACCAACGCCACGTTGGTTTGCTGTTAACAAATCCTCGCGACGCCGGTAATTGCGTGGTGCATTCGGCAAGCGGCGAGCCGCCCGAGGCCGAACGATCCCATAATGAAAAGTCGGTGGGTGGACGTCATAAGAAGTCGTGGAGAAGATTTCTGGCAACCAGCAAAACGGTAATAATAAACTACGGTTTTAAGCTCTGATCATTATAATGAAAAGTTTTAGCAAGATTTTAAAACAAATGTTTTGCGTCGTAAAAAAAAATATATAGGTACAATACATACGTCTATGTATTGTATTTTTTATGCATATTATGTAAAATTTTATAGATAAATAATATTAAACTACTTAATTCAAGGCCTTAATCATCATACTATGAAAAAAGTTCAATTCTGTTGTTTGTTTCTTTATTAACATGGCTGTTGTTTTAGTTAAACTAAATAAAAATTAGTAACAAATATTTTTATTTCAAATATCCAAGTATAAAATACGTTTTACAGATGTTTCAACATCTATGATTTTTGTAATTCTGTGAACAATATACTAATTTTGATTTTATTAAGGTAACCACTTTGGAGCTTTACTCTCTATCTCCGAAACGCAATTTCGGTAACGAACGAATTTTAAACGAAATTTCGCCACTGATTCTACTCTATTTCATTTTCGAACAGGGACACCATAGTCAAATGGCAAAAAACGAAACCCTTATAGATTCTTTATGTCTGTCTGTCCGTCAGATTGTCACAGCCACTTTTTTCCGAAACTATAAGAACTATACTGATGAAACTTGGTACTGTAACGTCCGTGACCGTCCGTCCGTCCCGTAAAGTTTTTTTTGCAAGTTTTGCAAACTTATTGTGAGGGCTAGTCTGTAGTAAAGGCCACCTCCCAGTTGTATTTATGTCCTTAAGCAGGTAGGGATTTTAGATAGGACCGTCGAACCCTCTCGATGTAGTAGCTAGGAAAAAAAAATTTGTTCGGTCATCTAGTATGACAAAACAATTTTTTTTTAGCGGTGCCGGAGTGATGTAACGTCCGTGACGTTGCAGCCTCCTTGTTTAGGTAAACTCTTTGCTTTTGCAATGCCTACGGTTGGCAGTTATATTAAAAAGTTAATGTCATGATTTTAAGATTTGAAATAAGGAATCGTCTGTCTTTTGATAGAAGGTTACATACAAGAGACGATCTTCAGGCACCAAACCTCTCGTAGCTTAGATAAAAATAATTATATTCGCCTGAAATCTAATATAAAATAATAACCATCGTCAAGTTGTTTTAATTAATCGCCACGTCCCCAGGTTCTATCCACTCTGGCTAGAGCTCCTCAGTACCCATACTTGAGAACTGAAACTCAATTTTTTTTTCATCAAAGTCATACGTGTGCGTTATCTATGGATAGGTCTTCAAAAATGATATTGTTGTTTTTTAATATTTTTTTTTCTAAACTGAATAGTTTACGCGAGAGACACTTCTAAAGTGGTAAAATGTGTGCCCCACAACACCACAAAAAATGTGCTATTTCACAATGTTTCTTTTTAAGATGGAGGTTGCTTCTGGGCGGCGAGGCGGGCACCCCAAATGCGAGCGGAAAATCCGCTGTATCCTACCTCTTCTACTTAATAATATTTCCACACTTACTTAATTATTATAAATGCGAAACTGTATCTGTGTGTCTGCTGAACCGATTTAGATTGAATTTGGTAAAGAAATCGAAGATATTGTATAAATTCCCCAAAAATATATTAAGAAAGCTTTATTATTAGGATGAAAAGGGGAATGGAACTTTGTAATTGGTGCCATTCATTTATTACGTAAGACTATTTTCGCTAGTTTTTGAAAATTACAAGAAAAAGTATGAATAAGCTCTCCCCCCGTCTTTAATATTTATTACGTAGGTCTAAAGGAAAAAATTAATACACGTTTGGTTTGTTTTAATGTTTATTTTTTAAAGTAACATTTTTTTTTTCAAAAGGCGAAGGTCCGTTGTCATGGAAATGGAAATCTTTAACATAATTATACGCATCCGAGCGAACCTCGGCACAAGCGAGGTTACCCGTGTAATTTTAACTTTGCGCGTTTTCGCAATCTTACGTAAGAACTATTGAGATTACACCCCCTTGTACGAAAAAATTAGACATGGTGGACCCATATAAATACTACTCTTTGGTCGACCCATGAATGACCCCTATGAATATATAATAACCTTTTGCAAGCACGCAGACGAAGTCGGTTGCACCCTTCCTTGCACGGCATGCACCTCTAGAATTGTCGATCGAAGTTAAGCCTACATTTAATTTTATTACTAGGGGAGTAATAAAATTAAATATAGGCTGCGGTCGAGCGAAGGGAGGACCAATCAATCATTCATCTATGGTTTAGTTAGATCATAAAAATGCTCCGGTATAAATGGTTTTCATTTTAAATTATCTGTTTTGGTTTTCTTGAGATCAATAATCCTTAAGCGCACGCACGATCAAAAGGGAAAGATTTTGTCCAGCTATCAACTTTTGTACATTTATTTAGAACTTCTAACTTTTACCTGTAATAATAAAGACGAAAGCTTTCTGAAGGCAGTTAAAATTAGTTCAGTTTTTGCACTTTTGTACTTATCTAGTTACAGATACATAAAACACTATTAAATTTACTGCCCTTATATTTTATTAGATATTATTCGTAAGTAGATTAAGGTAATTTGTATTCAAATTTTATACATTAGGTTGTTATAATTTTATTTTCTTTAAATCGTAATACTGCCCTCTATCAAGCATAGAATAAATTAATTACGACATGCTTTTGAACAACTTCAGTAGTACTAGTACTCTAAATAATGGATAGATGGCACCACATAGCTATCTGTTACAATTATCGTTTCTGGCAACACAGCGTTATTATGTCAAAGAGCTTTACTAGATGGCGCTGCTTTCTCAAATTTTACTTTTTTAGTTCCATAGCTGGTTTGAAATGATGTAATCAAAATTAAGTTATTTGTAAACACGCAATGGATTTAGTCAAAACGTCACTGTCTGACAAAACTTCCACAGATACCATTGAATTTACAGGACAATGAAATGTCATTTGCTTGTTTATTAAAATTTGTTGTTTATTAGAAATGATATATATCCTTAAACTTTTAAACAGTGAAGTTAAATTAACAATCGCAATATTTATTTTCTTGCAAACTTTGCTCGTTTGTTCGCCTACGTTCGTAATCGCCATCTCATCGTCCGTACTCTGTTTGCCTGTCGTTTCGTACGTACGTCATTGGCAGTGAACGGAACGAAGTGTCGTCGTATAGATCGCTGGCTGGCTCTGAAAATAGTGAACCGAGTATGAGTTTTCGAAATATGTTCGAATAAAAAGTGATTAAGTGAGTGACTGTCATCCAGCAAGATGGTTGATGACGTGAAAGATATTACCGAAACCGCTGAAAGTAAAGGTATATGTGCAATTGTAGTTGAAACGTGCCATTTTAGTGTAAATTGTGATTGAAATTTGTCTAACCCTAAACCGTGTCGTGGCCCCACGTCGTGGTATCGTGCGTTTCGAGAACGTCTGTGATGCTATGCTCGATGCAATCCAATGTTTTGTTTTTCATCTTTATTTGGACGCCTTTTTCCTGTCGTGGTATGTTCTAAAATTAGCAAAATAGTTGCCCAGACAGCAGGAATGTGGTGCCGATGTTAGCACACTAAATGTCATTTCGGTATCTTGCTATTTTGGCGATGTCGTGCTAACTTACCGTTATATCTCCATTTTATGTTTTCCGCATTGAATTTAGGCGTATTTGTCAACCTAAGATGTAGACCAAATGTTTAAGTTCTCGTCATATGGCAGGGCTGAGTCACAGCACAGGTTGTGTGATGATTACCAATGCATTGGCGTATATATGTACATGTATTATGTTCCAATACACTGGCAGCTGTTTTCTATATCAATCTCTCCATCGACTTTTCTTATCTTATAGGTATCAATAATGGTGGAAAATTTAATGTATACTTACAAAGTAGTTGGTTACTGGTGTTGTGTACGATATTACAATACCTATTAGGTTTCTATATCCAGTCTTTAGATAATTTTATTACTGTTGATAAGTTGATAACATAATTATTATCGCTGTGACCTTTAGAATATTATGTATCTAAGATAAATTACTTAAAAAGCTTACAATTTGGTTTGGTGTTTCTGTGTGTTGAGATGCAAGCAAGGCATCCTATGGTCAATTTTAGCATTTAATAAAACAAGTTTCAACGTTATAGATGCACTGATATATTTAGTTATGATTTTTTAGTTATCATTTATACATTTCTTTGACTTCCTTTATTTTATGCGTAGAGAAGTCATTACCTCTAAAGGGTGGACAGTACCAAAAGCAACATTGATTTTGATAGTTTTGTTTTTATCGCTTAATAAGTTTAATAAGTTTTTAGAAGTTTCTAGTTTCTTCTTCATGCACCAACTAGTAGAAAGATAGATTAACTGAATCCATCTACAGTACAATAATGCAACATACAGCAATGGTATAATTTAACAATTGTAATCCACAAATAAATTTTCATTTTAAAATAATCTGTACTGAATTGAAGACCATAATTATGTTGACAATCATTAAGTAACATTACTAAATTATGCTCATAATTATAACTTTATCAAATTTTATATATGTTTTAAAACAAAATTACTTACTTGAATGACAACTATTATAATTGGCAATTTGTAAACAATTTATGATTGTTTATTTGTTTGATTCACACAAAACCATTAGGTGGAATCAATATCAATTGTTAAATAATGGGTGATTGTGAAATCACCTGACTGCTGTAATAAATAGAAATTCCAGCAGGAAACTGTTTTTATGATGACTGTATAAAACTAGCCTATACCCTAAGTGTGATGTCTGAAGGTTTAAATAGTCCATACTAATATAAAAAGCTGAAGAGTTTGTTTGAATGGGCCATAATCTCAGTAACTACAAGTAGGAGATAAATGTATATGACTTATTCATACACTCATTCGCTTAGCTACAATAATACTAATTTTCTAAACAACTTCTAGGGAAGGTATTAAATATGTTTTCATTTACAAAAGACACTTGTCATGATTTCATTGATTATCCATGATTATCCATTCAAAATTTATTCATTGAATTATTGAACTTTCTAAAGTAAATGAGAGCAATGTGAATTAAAAGAACATTTCCAACTCGACTAAGATTTTATTTCAGGTAAAAAAACACTCATTTTATTTAAAAGACTTGTAAACTATAAATCCGAGTAAATCATTATGATAATTACAAGTGAAATTACTTTTCACCTTCATTATATAATCATTAACATCTCTTACAATAAATTGCCAGTATATAATTTCAATTACAAAGGTGTCTTAATGTATCATTCATTCATTACTGATGCTCATATCATTTTTTATGTATCAACTGACTTATCAATGGATATGATATCTGTAGAATTATCTTTCTTGTTTTTTAAATTTTATTTTTTCTTTTATGCTACTAATATTCTAAATAAAAAAATTTCTAAATAAGTATTGCTTTCAAGAAGGAGAAATCAATAAAATTATTTTTGTTGCAAAATGTGATTTTAAATTATGCAAATCCAAGGTGAGATGTGTTTGCTTGAAATATTATTTATACATACATATGCTAATAATTATCACATGATGCTTGCTTCGTGCATCTTAGTTTCTTGAATATTGGATGATATTAAATGAAGATGGAGTTTTTTCTGCATAGTATGTCTAGTCAGAGTTAAAGGCCAAACTTTTTATGTGTCTAACAATCATATCTATTGATATAAAACTAGCTAGACCTCACAATTTTGATCACATAGAAAATCTTGTTTCTAATAACAAATTTCCATACTTTTATGACTCTTTGTGATAAAATCTGTGTGTCAATTTTCAAAGTCTTATATACCCAACAATGACAGATAAGGAAACCTGTGCAGTAACAATTTTACACACAAAAACATCTTCTCTGTAAGTTTATTTGTCTGTGGTTTTCCACAAGAAGTTTGCTGCTATAACTACTGTTTCGGTGCTATCATGTCAGTCAGGTAGGCCTATTCACTGTTTTGACAGATGGAAGTGATAATCACTACTGCTTTATTAAAACGCCCTTAGATACTTGTTCTGAAAAGTATCAATGGATATGCAATTTTCTCTTTAGTTAAGCGACTTAAATGTCAAAAAAGTTAAAGAATACGCTGGCAGAACATAGGTTGTCTTCTGACTAAAGACTTCAGCCAGTTAAAGATAAAACCAATGACTTCTATGTTATATACATACTAATAGTCATTTCATTTAACTCTTCAGTTGAGCTGTTTTATATAACTAGCTGTGCCCTGCGGTGTTACCTGCGGTCTTATAATTATATTTACCTGCAGTAAAACGTGATGGTAATCCAGGGAGTCCAGTGCAGGTAAAATCACTCGAGCCGTTTAGACGTGAAGAAGTAACAAACATACACACTCTCAAACTTTTGCATTTATAATATTAGTGTGATAATTTGCATCCTTCTATCCTGTCCCCTTATTTCGTATATTTGATATTTGTGATTGGAAGGGTATAAGATTGGTGCATGCAGCGTGCACTTTAGGCACTTTTACTTTCAGCACAGAAACACAAAATGCATAAAGCTACAATGTTGAGCAGTTATAAAAGGTATATAGTTATAAAAGGCAGTTATAAATCATTATTCATGGCATAAAATTTTAAATGGTTCCTGTATTAAACGGGTAATAATAATATAATAAACAATACGTTATTCCCTGTTATCCCTGTAACCATTACCATGTAGACATGCAATTTTTTTGTAAGATATTTAAGTACCTTTTTTCACTGCACTACCTATTCTATGTAAAAGTCTCATCAATAAAAAAATACCGTATCTTAAAACGCGCCAAAACCGCAGAGTAAATGAAGCGAACAGAAATAAGTCAACCCATACAGAAAGAAGTAAAAATAAGCTGAAGTTTAGGATTCCGTAGGTACTTTTTTTGTCTAACTGGGGCTGTACTAGCATAATCTATAATCGTTTTTTTTTGTTGCGTTTGCATATCTACGGTATTTTAAACTATCCGCCTTAATCCAAAATGCGGACTAAAATTAGTCTTGATTTAAACCTAATCTTGTCACCATTTTCGTTTTAGCAAACCAAAGTGAAAGCATAAGTTTTAGACCAGGTTTAACTTTAATCTACGTTTTGTAATAAGGCAGTATTAGTTTAGAGTATTGAGGGGGGGCAGACTACCACGATATATATATCGAACAACATCAAATTAAACTGAATGTTGACGTTAAAGTATCGAAAACTGCATGGGCGAGACCTACTTGTACTTAGCCAGTTTTTTTTTGTTTGTATTATTCGTGTCTGTAGATCGTAGTGGCGGAGACGTTGAGAACTCATTGGGGGCAAATAAAAAGTGGGCTCTCGAAAGTGCGGTTTTTCTGCAAGAAGAGATTGTCGACGTTTGAATCGACAAATGTTTCAGAAAAGGTTTTTGAAGTTATACTTCTTTAGGCGCGTTATGAAAAAATGATGAGAGTGAAATTTTAAGATGCGCGCGCATCACTGTAACACAAAAATTAACAGCATGAAGTTGGTCTTACTTTTGTGTTTACCGCACATTAAGAAAATCTACCAACAAAATAGAATCTCTATTTTGTGGGTGCTAACGACTGCATTGTGAAGGCCTATCAAAAGTATTTATTAATCTGGAACAACGGAACCAAAGCGCGATTCAGGAGACTACAGTGCCATCTCTTGACCATTGGTGTAGTAGAACCAAAAACCACATCTTTATTTTTTGTAATAAAGTAACAGTTATAGGTATTCATATTTATAATATTTATCCACATGTTTCTAGTTTGTATATTCGGAATACGTGTTTGAGTTTCATACAAGTGCAAATCACATATGTTCTAATAAATTATATTCAGTAGCGATTTTAATTGAATATTTTGATTATTATTTATTTTTTCAAATTAAAACTGAACCTTATTGACTGTGTCCTTTTCCAGACTTTTTATTAATTTATTGTAATTAATAATTTGCATGCAATTAAAAACTAATTTTAAACGATGCCAAAGAAGGATAACTTCTCACGCGCCTACATAAGTACACGCACCCATTTTTATCTAACATACAGTACCTAGATGTTTTTAAAATGCAAAGCTTCTCGCTCTCAATTGTCTCAAAAAACTATAGAGATTGACAATTAGAAGCGATAAGAAATCATTCTACGGGGACTGATATTAAGAGTGTCCGTCCCTATTTGGAGTCCAGTCGCGACCTAAAAAGGCCACATTTTGATGTAGTCTTCTACGAAGTTAAGGTTACCTCCTAAGGCGGATGCTCCAAATCGAGCGGCAATTTCGCTATACCCTAAGAGGGCATAGCAGATAGAGTCTCTGCGGAAAGAG